TACTTTCTCCTGTTTTATTGTTGGTTTCCTCTTTTCTGATCATTTGGAATGAGGATAAATATATATATATATATATATATATATATAAAAACATGCATAGAGCACATCAGATATGGTAAGAGCGAACGGCAGCTCAATAGTGCTATTTTCATGTGTGAGAACCAAGGAGGTTTGTATGGGTTTAGAATGACAAGAGAGTGAATGAATGATGGCAGAATTTAATTTTCAGGTAAACTATCCCATTAATTAGAAGGGTTAAAATGTGACTATATGTCCATCCATGTTATAACAGTAGTGTGATTCGTAATTCACATGGTTGAACACCTTGTCCAGGAATTTTAACATTTTGAAAATATATTACCATTATTTTTAAACTGTCAATGTTAATTATTTAACTATAGTAAAAAAAAAAAAATCTTCTAGTTATCGATATTGAATTGGCAAAAAGTTGTTCTTTGTTAGTGCAGTCTCCTAAAAGCCAGTCATCACATTCAGCTGAAAGTCATGGGCATTCATTGGTCAGTTGGAGCGACCCTGTTAATATGTGTGTGTGTGTGTTTAGGAGGTGGAGAGCTTCAGGCGGTGGAGGGGAATCCTCATCGAAGCGTGTGGAAGGTTTGCTGTTGGAGAATGGCAGAGGAGGTGAGGAAACTCTAGATCTGTGGGAAATTTGAGGAAAAAAACTAATAAATGTATATTTAGGGCAACACTGACAGTAATTTGAATTAAAAATGTCTTTTTCCCCCCCCCTTGTCTTTAAAGGGATAGTTCACCCAAAAATTTAAATTCTGTCATTAATTACTCACCCTCATGTTGTTCCAAACCTGTAAGACCTCCGTTCGTCTTCGGAACACAAATTAAGATATTTTTGATGAATTCTGAGAGCTCTCTGACCCTCCATAGACAGCAATGTAATTAACACGATCAATGCACAGAAACGTAGCAAGGACATCGGTAAAATAATCCATGTGACGTCGGGTTCAACCGTAATCTTACAAAGATACGAGATTACTTTTTGTGCACAAAGAAGAAGAAAAAACGACTTCATTCAACAATACGTCTCCTCTGCGTCACCCTGGCACCTGATGCAGAGGAAACAAATTGTTGAATAAAGTCGTTTTTATTTTATTTTTTAGGGTGAGTAATTAATGACAGAATTTTCATTTTTGGGTGAACTATCCCTTTAAGTACTCTGACATGGGCTTTTTTTAATTTAGCAAAAAATGAGTTGTCTTTTATAATACACAGTTTTTTCGCATAGTATAGGTAGCTTTTTATATATACCTTGTACTGGGTAACATCAAGTCTCAAGAAATTAAAAATGAATAATTACATTAGTTGAAATGTCTGTACTTAATACACAGCTTCTGTGAATGTTTTGGTCATTTTGTTTGTCATTCTGAAAGATTCTGCTTTGTTTTGCTGTTTCAGGAGCAGTTCAACAAATATGAAAGAGCCATCTATGCTGCACTGAGTGGAAACCTCAAACAGGTAAATAGTCGTCTAACTGTTTTTCCTCTTGTTTTTAGTCATTATTTGAATATGTCCTCATTTCCTGCAGCTGTTACCCGTGTGTGAGTCGTGGGAGGACACAGTGTGGGCGTATTTCCGGGTGATGGTGGACACTCTGGTAGAGCAGGAAATCTGTTCTTCTGGTCTGGGCAGTGAAGAGCTGGAGGAGCTGCCCAGAGAGTTCCTAGAGACCAAGTATGACTATAAACACCCTCTAATTTCCATCATATATACAGTCTTTATGTCCTTTTCCAGTAACTGATTAATTCCATCATGTGACTTTTTTAGTTGGACATTGGAGAAAGTCTTTGAAGAGCTTCAAGCAACAGAATCCAAAGTAAGAGTGAATGAATGAGGTTTCTTTTGTAAAAGACTAAATTGATTGAAATGTTTATTTTCACACATGTGTTATGTTGACAGAGGGTTCTGGATGCAACTAAGGAACATTACCATTTGATTCAGAAGCTTGTTATTCTTGGAGATCTTGATGGTACACTTTGAGAACAGATTTTTGAAAAATCTCACTTTTTCTTTTTGAAAAGTTTTCTTTTTAAGTTCAATGTTTAACTTGTTGAAAGGTCTTCTGGAGGAGTTCAGTGATTGGTTGGGAAGAAGTACAGCTTTGCCAGCTCATCTGTTGCGCTTCATGTCACATTTAGTGTTGTTTTATCGCAGTTTGGGCATGCAACTCAAGGTACGTACATTATATGCATATATTGTTTGTTTTTAGATTATATTTCTCTTCATGTGTCTAGCTTATTGCTTGTACAGATGAATACATTCAAATGTTTGATGCAGTCTCACCATTGTGATCTGTGTTTGTCAGGTGGAGGTGTGTGTAGATGTCCTGAAGGCCTACATCTCCCTGTTAGTAAAGGAAAAGCAGGTGGATCTCATTGCATTTTATGTAAGTCACCTTCCTGCTGACATGGCTGTGTCACAATACGCTCAGTTCCTGGAGGAAGTCACGGAGACTGAGCAGCGCAAACACTGTCTGGAGCTGGCAACACAAGCAGGTGAGGTCAAAGGGTCTTGTATCACAATGGAAAGGGTTTATTTTGCAATGTGTACATTAAATGTTTATTACATACTTATTACACATTGATATTTTTTGTGGTGTTTAGGTTTGGATGTAGCAGCAATCACAAAAACCGTAGTAGAGACCATCAGAGAGAGAGACACAGATGAGTTTGCCCACCATGACCTGACCCCTGCACTAGATACAGCAACTACCGTGGTACAAATGAACTGCTAAATGTGTTAATTTATAAATCCATATCCAATTAGCAATAGAATTAACACAAAACTCTTCATCTATTCACACAGGAGGATCAGCAGAAGATTGATGTCATTGACTGGCTGGTGTTTGATCCCGCCCAGCGAGCTGAAGCCCTTAAACAGAGCAATGCCATCATGAGGAAGTTCTTAGGTGAGACTTTTGCAGCTAAATTATTATATTAAGATTAGTGCTATCAAACGATTAATCGCATCCAAAATAAAAGTTTTTGTTTACAGAATATATGTGTATATATATATAGTCACGATTAACAATTTGACAGCACTAATTAAGATGTAACTGAGCTGTAAATTATAGTTGTATATTTTGATATTATAATTGATTTTCATTAATAAAAAAATGTTTAGAATTCCAAAAAATTTTGTTTTAGATTTTTTTTTTCTGTCAACATTTGGATGTAGTAATGCGCACAGGTGTAGCAGAAAACATTTGGTTCGTATTGGCATTTTCCTCTCTGTCACTTGTCGTAATGATTAGACATAAAATAATGTCTTCAGGATCGTTCATAAATGTGAGAATCTAACAAATAGTTGTAACCTGGCTCAGAGGAAGGTAAGAATCATGTCTTTGAGGCAGCTTTTTTGGTGATTAAAGGCAGAGTGAGGGATTTTTCAAAAATGCTTTAAAAACTGATTCGGGCCGAATCGCAAAACAAACTTGTGGCCAATCAGCAATAAGGGGCGTGTCTACTCGTGATGTGGAGGAGAGCGCGTTCAGTGCATGGGACGGACATTAGCCGAGCCAGCGACAGAAAGATAGAGATGGCGGATAAAAAACAAAAGAGGAAAACGTCTGCGGAACGATAAGGCAAGAAGTAGGACACGTGTAAATATCGGATCAGCTTTCCAGCGCTGGAGAGAACTCAAGGAGCGGAGGCCTGCGATCGGACGCCGAGGTTGCTTTGTTTCTTCTCAATAGGTGAGTAACACCGTGTCTACAACAACTAAAGTCTGCCTACACTGGACGCGAGAAAGAGGTCAAACGACCGTTGAAAACCATTTGAAATTTAGGGGCGTGTTTGTTTTGGTGATTTCAAATATCAACATTGGCTACCAGAAATCCTTTGTTTCACAGAACTAATCGTTGCCTGGGTTGCGTACGTATATGTGGGGCGGAGCTATCAAAATAGGGGCAAGACCCTTTTGGGGTAGGGGCGTGTTTGTTTTGGTGATTTCAAATATAAACATTGGCTACCAGAAATCCCTCACTCTGCCTTTAAGGGATAATACAAGACTTCACCTTATAAATGGTTGTAGAAAGCAACAATTCTACGAAAGTTTATACCATTAAAAACAAGCTTTTATGGTTAGTTTACTCCTAGGTATTAGTTAGGTCAGTTAGCTTAGATTAGCGACATTGGCATTTCATTGATTCACATCTAATGTTCCTCGTTTGCCGTAGCATCTAAGAAGCATGACGCTGCTAAGATGGTCTTCGCCAAAGTGCCGGAAGATTCCATGCGGGAAATCTACCGCCAGTGGGAGGAGCAGGGCATGGACACGCCCCTTCCTGCAGAGGAGGAGAATGCTATTCGTGAGCATCTGTGCATCCGTGCCTATCTGGTGAGGAGCTGCATCTTTGTGCAACACTGAATTGTCTGTCACTGTATTGAATGTAGTTACAGCGAGATGATCTTACTCTGTTTTTTTTCCCCCACAGGAAGCTCACGAAGCGTTTAATGAGTGGTTCAAGCACATGAACTGTCCTCCGGTGAAACCCACAGCACCTGCTCAAGCGAAGTTTACAGAGAAGGTGGCCCATGAGATGAAAGAAGCAGAGTACAAGGTCAGAACAGACCGTTCTCACAGTGCCGTGAACACTTCTAGCTTTTATCTTTAATGGCTTTTCTTTGTCACTTCCTCCAGGTAGAGTATGAGAACTGGCAGGGCCGTCTGGGAGCGCTGACAGAGGATGTGAAGGAGAGGATCTATAATGTGCTGCTGTTTGTAGATGGAGGCTGGATGGTGGATGTCAGAGAGGTGAATAGGTTCTCTATTAATTTACAGGTTTGGCGAACACAAACTAATTGTAATAATTCTTTTTTTTTTTAATTCAGAAAATGCATTTTGAGTGTAGGATGTTCTGGATTTATGGTGTGTGTGTGTTTTTGGCAGGACACTGAGGAAGACTCTGAGCGCTCTCATCAGATGACTCTGCTGCGGCATTTGTGTCTGCCCATGATGTCTTTCCTCCTTTTAACCGTACTGCAGCGCACTGAGCGCCACCAGGAGAGTCTGCGTCTGGCTGACATCATCACGTCTGACCAACACAGACTCTATGAGGTGTGATGTCAGAGCCCTTTAGAGAATGATTGTAAATATAGACATAAATATCGCATGTCAGTAAGACTATATTGACTCAATTTGCGTGAGATCTCTTCTGATAACATAAGTGCTCATGTTAAATATGATGCTGTCTTGTTTTAACGTTCATTCATCTGACCTGTCTTTCTTTTTGTCAGGTTTTCTCTAAAGACGAGCTGCAGAAGTTTCTCCAGAAGATGAGGGAATCCTCTCTACTCCTGCTGGATAAAGGGCTGGATCCGCTTGGATATGAGATTCAGCCCTAGACACTGTTTGTTTCTAATGCTGTTTATGTCCTCAGAAAAAAATAAAAGCTTTGTAATTTTGTATTTGAATAAAGATGAATTGTTTTGAATTTGGTGAATTGTTCAAGTGGAGAATCACACTATTTCATCTTCTTCAAGAGTAATGCATTTCTTTCAATTTGTATCATTTCTTTTTTGTCCAGTCTTCCATATTAAATAGAATACCAGACATTTTCTTCCATTCTTTAATCATTTTATTTTGAATTTGTAATTCTATTTTATCATCAATGGTATCAAATTAAGTTGTGTATATCATCCACTTATGGTTTTCCTCTTAAAATTTAACTATGCATAAACAAAAACGGTAATACTTTAGTATAGGGACCAATTCTCACTATTAGCTAGTTGCTTATTAGCATGCCTATTAACATATATGTGCTGTTTATTAGTAAAGCACATATTCTACATCCCTAATCCTAACCAATACCTAAACTTAACAACTACTTTACTGTTAATAAGCAGCAAAGTCGTAGTTTATTGAGGCAAAAGTCATAGTTAATGGTTTGTTAATAACGAGAATTGGACCTTAAAATAAAATGTGACCACGAAAACAATACACTTTAAGAATAATATAAAGGTCATTTACACCATACTCGTCAAGAAACAATACAAACTTTTTTTCAGTGCCAAACAATAAATGGGACAAGAACATAAAGTGTGATACAAAGGGTTGATACACCAACATTAGGCTTGTGAATGTGCCATATTTGTGACCCGTTCTGTAGGCTATAGGCTAGACTGGGATTGGTTTTCACACTTTTTACTCCAATCAATATTTTTTTAGGGTAAGTGTATTTCTGAAAGTCGAAAAATACCATGGTAGTCTACTTTCTAGTGCTTTAAGTGCCTTTCCTGTTAGTTATTTTGCAACCAGTGTCACTCATAAACTTTACAGACACCTCAATAAATTCTTCATCACTTGCAAATGATAGGATGCATTTTTAGTTTGATTCTTTATTTTATGTACATTGTATGTATTGCAGGTAAAATATTTGCAGCAATTCAGTTATATTTTGTTCTCTGTGTTCTTATATAACGATTTCTTACGTAGACATATGTACATTACGTGTTTTCTAAATAGGGAATCGCTCCGAACCTGTCCGAATCATTCAGACTGAATCTCAAATCGATTCAAATCTGTTTGCTGACCCGTATTACCGATTCATTGAAAAGAACCGATTAAAAAGAATGATTCATTCGCGAATGGGGCATCGTTAGTTCCAATTATAAACAGGTGGCAGAAAATACTAGTCACACGACTTTACTGACTTCTTTATTTAACTTTTCCGACCATAGTGACAGAGATTGAAGTAAATATAAAGGATGCCGACACACATATTATTGGAAAGTCTTATCACAGTTGTCCAATTGAGGCGCGAGCTCATCCGTCAAATCTTAATTAAACGACACAAGCTTCGTGAGAGGAAAGCGTTTGAGTCATGCGCAGAGTCACACCACTAAACTGATGAAAGCGGCTGAGGTGGAAGACCTAAAACCTGCAGATGGCACACAACTCACACAGTATCTCCGCATCTGTAAGTTACTGAAAAACCACACGCCAAAAACCAAAAATTATTTGGGTTATAGTATTTGGGTTTCACTGAACTTCACGCTGTCTGATAACAACCATATTTCGCTCTCAAACACAAGACTGTAATTGTGGCCACTGAAACTGGCTTGATATGAAAAACCTTATTTGAAACAATATTCGACAAAATTACAACAGCAAACCAATTACTTGGTATACAATATAAATCATTTAAAAAAGCATGGAAAAAGGGTTTTCACACACACACGCACGCACGCAAAACTGTTGTGACCAACAGACCTTTTAGTCCCAGTCTCCCTTTAATTACTAAGGCGATATGGCAAAAATTATCATATTTGATTTTTTTTTTCAGGCAGGGTTTTAAGACTATTTTGCAAGTTCCAAATTTCCCCATTAAAAAATATAGCCCTACAAGGTAACAAAACAAAAAAAACAAGAATGACAGAACATTTACAGTACCTTTCATATAGCCTACACATTATTTTTGTATTCTGTCTACTGTATTTATTTGTACAGCATGAATTATGCAAGTGCTGTGAATTCTTTGACAGTGTTGATCCAGTAAATATTGAAAGTCACGCCAAAAGGGAAATAGCTGTGTTGACCTTGTTAGCTTCTTGACATCAAATTCTGTCTTGGGTATGTATGTACAGGTGCATCTCAATAAATTAGAATGTCGTGGAAAAGTGTGTTTATTTCAGTAATTCAACTCAAATTGTGAAACTCGTGTATTAAATAAATTCAATGCACACAGACTGAAGTAGTTTAAGTCTTTGGTTCTTTTAATTGTGATGATTTTGGCTCACATTTAACAAAAACCCACCAATTCACTATCTCAACAAATTAGAATTAAGCCTGCTTGATCAATTATCAAAGAAGGATGCCAAAATTATTCAGCAAAATAAGATTTTCTTATCAAAGTGATAAAATTTTGTTGCAAAAATGAGTACACCCTCCTGAAAGTTACTAAATAAAAAAAAAGCGTATAGGTTTAAGGCTATTTTTGATCAACAGGTAAGTATATTGAACCAAAACGTTTAAAGACAAGTAATTTCCTGACAATTAAAAGTGTTATATAGCCCACTGAATCATACTCAGACTTAATGCTGGCAGCAGTGGAACCACTTGGGAGAGAACTGCCAGGTGACTTATTTCTTAGCATAAAAGAGGACAATGGTACAAGAGGAATACCAAATTATTGTTTTAAGTGTGAAAATATAGCAGAAGTAGCACCAACATTCAAAAACAATGGACTTGTGATAAGGCTCCTGAGATAATCACGTCTTCACTTTACATTTTGATTTAGTGATGAGTGATTATTTGCTAGAAAAAGAGCAGGAGAAACACTGCGAAAGTGTCTCTGAGTATATATATATATATATATACACGCACACAAACACACACACACACACACATATTATATATATATATACACAAAATGTCTGTAATCATGAAATAAATGATAGTTAATTTAATATCAATATTCTCAATTTCATTTAATGAAAAAGCAGCTTTGTCATAATTGCAGCAAAAATACTAAAAACTGAGCAGAGCCTTTGAGTCAAAAAGATTGAGAACCGCAATTCAGTTAAATCTGAGTGTAAATTAAGTTAAAACATGCCAAATTTAAGCACATTTTGCAGTGTGTAAGTGTAGAGTTGCTCTGCTCAACAGAAATCAATAAATAAACCTAGGAGGAACAAACATATACCTCTAAAAACATAAAATCAATCCCTCCCTCCAGTAAACAGCTGTAAAAGTGGAAGAGAGGCATTATGGGAGGCTAATGGGATGGATGAGTGATTGATCTGCAGTGCAGATGGGATTTGTGTGAGCTTCAAAGTCAAGCCCATCAGAATGCTGGAAGAATGACATTATGACACTAATACACCATACTGACGCTTCTTAACAGTAATGAATTAATCAGTAAACTCATTAATCAATTTCACAAGTAAGAGTGCTGTTGTTCTGAACAAGTTAGTATTGAGTAACATACTGTCAGTAGCTTTGTCTGTTTGTGGAACAACCAGTGCAAAATCAATAATTTTAAGTCTCACAATAATAATGTGACAATGTAAAAAATGTTAATATGTTATTTATTAACAAGTTTATTTGTTTGTTTATTTTATTTATTTATTTGCAAATTGTAGTTTTTTTTCTTATTTCAATAAAACAAAAAAGTGTTCTTTTTTTTTTTTTAAATAAAACAAAAATAAAATAATGGGGTAAGAAAGCTTTAAATTCAAGAACTGATACTCGTATTATCTTACGTTTGCACTGAATATCTTATTTTAAGAATTTTAGTTTTTTTATTTTCTTTTTTACTGTAAAACATGAAAAAGTCATAAAGCAAATATTAATTTTATTTATTTATTTTGCCCTATTATTATTATTATTATTATTATTTTATCAGTATACCAATACCAACTAGAGTTTTCAGTTCAGGTTCTGATGTCAAAGTGTGAAACAATAAAAAAAGCCACACATCACCTTGAGTTCAAATAAGGCCTTATACTTGTAAAATCAAGATTAGCACAGAGAACAACGTGACCAAAAATAAATAAATAAAATCAATTGAAACACCCTAGGAGGAAGACTGTTCATTATTGTCACAGAACTGTGCCAGATGTGCAGGACACAAGATTAAAGCACATCTTCCTGATAGTGATCCACAGCCTGTCTGTCCTGTGGGTTGTTGTCTGTGTGAGCTGAGAAACCCATCTAAGTTGAAATCACTCACTCTGACAGGAGGCCAATTGCTTGCCAGGAAGAAAGAGTACAGTGAACCCTGGTGTGTCAGCCATACGGGGGTGTTTCTTAATCTAGCAGATTCTCCTGCTCTCCAAATCAGCAGAGGTTTGACAAGTTTGTTAGGGCTCTTTAAAAGGCTGTTTCCCAGGGGGTTGGTTGAGCACTCTTCATTCGGTGTTAATAAGGGTCGTACTGCTTCTTGGCTGAATAGATAGACGTGTTTGATCTCGCCACAGGAAATGTTAAAGAACATCCTGTGTGTTTGAGCAGCCTAATTAGTAAAGACTGTTCATTTAAAAGTGTTAATTTAGGGTGCATGAAAAAATGAAAGCAGATAGGCCTTTTAAATCTCCATATTTGTGTGTAATGAACCAGAATAAAGAGCTGTCTAAGAGAGGAACATTGAGACAGAAGCCCAACTCATTAATCAATTTCACAAGTAAGAGTGCTGTTGTTCTGAACAAGTTAGTATTGAGTAACATACTGTCAGTAGCTTTGTCTGTTTGTGGAACAACCAGTGCAAAATCAATCATTTTAAGTCTCACAATAATAATGTGACTGTAAAAAATGTTAATATGTTATTTATTAACAAGTTTATTTGTTTGTTTATTTTATTTATTTATTTGCAAATTGTAGTTTTTTTTCTTATTTCAATAAAACAAAAAAGTGTTCTTTTTTTTTTTTTAAATAAAACAAAAATAAAATAATGGGGTAAGAAAGCTTTAAATTCAAGAACTGATACTCGTATTATCTTACGTTTGCACTGAATATCTTATTTTAAGAATTTTAGTTTTTTTATTTTCTTTTTTACTGTAAAACATGAAAAAGTCATAAAGCAAATATTAATTTTATTTATTTATTTTGCCCTATTATTATTATTATTATTATTATTTTATCAGTATACCAATACCAACTAGAGTTTTCAGTTCAGGTTCTGATGTCAAAGTGTGAAACAATAAAAAAAGCCACACATCACCTTGAGTTCAAATAAGGCCTTATACTTGTAAAATCAAGATTAGCACAGAGAACAACGTGACCAAAAATAAATAAATAAAATCAATTGAAACACCCTAGGAGGAAGACTGTTCATTATTGTCACAGAACTGTGCCAGATGTGCAGGACACAAGATTAAAGCACATCTTCCTGATAGTGATCCACAGCCTGTCTGTCCTGTGGGTTGTTGTCTGTGTGAGCTGAGAAACCCATCTAAGTTGAAATCACTCACTCTGACAGGAGGCCAATTGCTTGCCAGGAAGAAAGAGTACAGTGAACCCTGGTGTGTCAGCCATACGGGGGTGTTTCTTAATCTAGCAGATTCTCCTGCTCTCCAAATCAGCAGAGGTTTGACAAGTTTGTTAGGGCTCTTTAAAAGGCTGTTTCCCAGGGGGTTGGTTGAGCACTCTTCATTCGGTGTTAATAAGGGTCGTACTGCTTCTTGGCTGAATAGATAGACGTGTTTGATCTCGCCACAGGAAATGTTAAAGAACATCCTGTGTGTTTGAGCAGCCTAATTAGTAAAGACTGTTCATTTAAAAGTGTTAATTTAGGGTGCATGAAAAAATGAAAGCAGATAGGCCTTTTAAATCTCCATATTTGTGTGTAATGAACCAGAATAAAGAGCTGTCTAAGAGAGGAACATTGAGACAGAAGCCCACTTTCACTGAAAATGACAATGGAGGGCGTCCCAATATGTGATGTCTTTTCTTGTATGTCTTATAAGTAGATTGTATTTATTTTGATATTTTTAGTTTGCTCTAACAGAACACTTGCTCACTCCTGATAATGAATAATGTTAGTCCTGCATCTACCATTTATTACATACAAAATTTCTAAATCCCTGGTAGCCCTTCGTGCAGGTACTCTTCAGATTTTGGTAGCCCGAAAATTAATTTCGCTAGCCCAAATAAAAAATACCTTTTTTTTTTTAAATATAGAAAATCAGATAGGAGTTTAAATGTCAATCAAAAATATTTTCAATACACGAATATCAACAAATATGAAGGAAGGAATTTTATTTTACTATTTACAGGGTATCTGCAGAATTTAAAAAAAATAAATGTAAGGCAATTTATGACCCATTTTAAGAGCTGCACAAGTAAAATGAACACAGTATGGTGGGGTTGGACAATGTCTGTGGTAACACAGTATTGAGCCATAAAATTACATGATTTACAGTTCAAATACAGGTTTTTAATTGTTTAGATTTTTAGAAGGCACATTAACTTCTTTCTCCA